CTTAGACCTTGTGGCAAGAATATTTGAAATCTAAATATATAAATAACCATAAGTTGGTTATAATGAACCAGTATTATATATTGTGGATTCTTTAAACACACAGTCCTGCTATGGTGCAACATTAACAATTGTCATTACGGTACGGCTATAGTCAACAGCCGTTTCTGCACCCAACATCTGTTTTGTTGCACGACGGCTGGTTGACCGGTCGCGCTACATGCAGTACACAATATGATCTGAATTGGTTGAACGCTAAGCAGATGTTTGCGCCGCTAACGTGAAATCACTCCTCCTTTTCTGTGATGCCATGTGCCATCTGGCCCCAGGCGGAAGCCAAATCGTATGCACAGTGTAGCAGACACACCAGCGTCTGCGGGTGAAATTCGTCTCATCTAAGCAGCAGTCATTAAGTATTTATGATGTCTTAGTCAGCAGAACACCTCTCTTGTTGCCCTCCTGTCTTCTCTCTCCATCGTCTCACTACCATTCACCTTAATCACCCTTTTCTCTGAGACTCTCTTCTTCTTCTTCTTCATCTCTATGCACAGAATACCCCCTGCCCTACCAGGCGGAGTTTTACATCAAAAACATGAACGTGGAGGAGATGCTGGCCAGTGAGGTGCTGGGGGACTTTCTGGGAGCGGTGAAGAACATCTGGCAGCCTGACCGCCTCAACGCCATCAACATCACCTCGGCACTAGACCGAGGGGGCCGCGTGCCCCTGCCCATCAACAACCTCAAGGAAGGGTGAGGGTTTTTAGGGTTTGGCTGGACATGTATTCAAATGTTTAATACTGGAATAAAGCTGATGCAGGAACGGCTAAATACGATTTTCTTTCAATGCTCATTTTACGTTTTTATTGTAAAAGTGCAGGATTAGTGCTTTTAGGTATAATACCTCTTGATTACATACAGTAAGCATTAGGTTTCTCCACCTCTTCACATCTCTCGATCAAACATATTTGTTATATTTTCCGCCCACTCAAAACATACTTGTGTTTTATTTAATTGCGGCTCTGGGGATCCACAGTTCTCTGTGAATTAGATGAGTACACTTGCCATCAGCGCTGACAGATACTGTCAGTGTGTGTTCAGAGGGGAATAGCTCACATGAATTGCCATAAGTTGTGCAACAAAAATTCATGCTGACGGTTTAAGAAGATGAAAGCATTTATAAGAGCGCTCAGTGGAGGAGAAATTATTTGACTACATATCAAGCCAGCATAATAATGTAAAACGACGCTCCATCTTCTCTTCTCACGCTTTGTATTTCCCTGTCTCCTCCCCAGAGTGTACGTGATGGTTGGTGCTGATGTGGCCTTCTCGTCCTGCCTGCGGGAGGTGGAGAGCCCCCACAACCAGCAGCGCTGCAGTCAGGAGATGGAGCCCTCCATCAGCTGCGACAAGAAGTTCAGAGCTCAGTTTGACATTGACTGGTGTAAGATCTCTCTGGTGAGGATTGGACAGATTTCCCTGAATTTAAGGAGGCCCGAGGGAAATGCTGAATTAACTTCACCTTATTTCTTCAGGTTGACATCAACAGGGTATTCCCGGTATATATAACCCGTCCCGAGCCGGGCAACGGGATCCTGCCTGAATTTGGGTTGTACGACCCCCCCTCTGAGACTCTGATGAGCCGGAACTACTTTTCAGACTTCCTTATCACGCTGGCTGTTCCCTCCGCCGTGGCAGTAGTCCTCCTCTTCATCCTCGGCTACACTATGTGCTGCCGTCGGGAAGGGTTGTAAGTGTGCTTGGTCTTCTTTTATGCACCAGACACTCCGACAAACATTTGGGGAAAGCACAGAAACTGTTAAAAAGAGCTATAGGATAATCAAATGGAAAAACAGGATGCATATAGTAGGACATTTAGATAAAAGCAATAATCTGGACTAGAATTGCAGCTTGTCATAACCATCACTTTCTATTAAGTTCTCCATGAATATCTGTCGCAGCTTTTTGTTATTTCCATCATGTACATCTTGATGTTTTGAAGCAGAGCCATGACATCGATAGCCATTCATCCACGATAAATCCTGTCATCATTCTCCATCATTTACAGGCCGGGAGAGACGTTCCCCCTCAATGTTCCACGCCCCCATCACCATTTCCACTCTTTCTTTACCCAAGCGTCCATTCACTTGTGTGTAGATGTCTCTTTAACTATCAATATTAGTATTTAATTCATCCATTTTGTTTTGTTTCTAGGGAAAAAAGAAACATGCAAACACCAGAGTAAGTGTTTTAAGTCTCCTGTGTTTTTCTTTATTTTGGATCTGTTTCTGTCCCCCCCTCTATCTCTCTTTGGTTTGCAGCTTTTCATCTATGTTGTCATTGAACGCTTCCTCATGACCATTCATGTGCTCATCTGTGTGTTGACATCCATTCATCCAATGGGCTGCTCAAAATGAATAGTAATTCAGTAACTATAGCTTGAAAAAAACCTACATCTTGAAGACTAAGAACATATTTTGAGGTCAGAGAAGTTAGGAGGTAAGGGAGGTTGTATTGCTGTTGCGCATGCATGAGTTGAGTGCAGCGCTCCCCATAGCAGATTCAAATTGATTGCATATCAATATACTTTAAATGGGTTTCAGATGACACCAACAACACAAGCTACAACACATGTAAACTCCACTGCCTCTCCCCTCTCCAGCATCCAGCTGGTTCACCACAACTCCATCCAGAAGTCCTCCAAGGAGCTGCGGAGCATGTCTAAGAACCGGGAGATCTCCTGGCCCCTCTCCACCCTGCCCGTGTTCAACCCAGTGAGCGGCGAGGTGGTGCCGCCCCTCCACCCCGACAACTATGAGACCACCAGCATGCCCCTCATGCAGACGCAGACGTGAGTTAAAGGAGGATTTGGTTTGTCTGGAGGGAAATGCACGTGTGGTTTCAGCATGTGAATGAATAAACTATGCACACATGCACCTGCGCTCATTAGCAGTCACGCAGATGTATGGCTAGTTATACAAGTCGTTATATAGGGGGAATATTTAAGTAAAAACAATACCATTATTGTCTAATCTTGTTTTCTGTGCCTCTCACAGTGCCTTGTTTACAGCTAAAGCTGCAGCAGGCCTTTATAAAATACGACTAGAGCTTAAGAGGTTCAAGCTGTCCCATGATATTTCCTAATGGGCTTGAAAAATGTGCTAATATAAGTACAGCACCTGATACTAAAGGCTCTTGTGCTGTATGGGAATGTCTGTCTGTTGATCACAATGTTGTTGTTATAATTTCAGGAATCTGCAAAACCAGATTACGATACCACAGCAACGGCCATCAGGTGAGTAACAACCTTTGTAGAGAAAGAAATATGCCTCACTCCATCTGTAACATGCTGTGGTAATATTTAATAGTTCATAATAATAAATAACTAATCATTCAGAACAAGGGTTTAACTAGTTTACATTTGGGTGTTCTGACATCTTTTACATTGGATAAGGTGACACCATACAGACAATAATATAAATGCAGTCTTTGGAGTTTGTGGTTACTTAGCTGTTTCTCTTATCAGCCTGACATTAGACTATCTCTCGCCTGCATCCGTGTTAAAATACAAGCATCCAGACTTTGTTCATTTAGATATGGATTATTAAGAGCAAATCATTTTTACTACGGCTCATTAAGAAATCAGGCTTGAGAGCTTTTCCTCTTGTGTCGTGGCGCTGAGAAATCTGAACATTTGGAGTGTGAGCGCCCTCCTGTGTGCACGGTGTTCAGCTGCATGACAGACCTCTCACTAACCTGCTGCTCTCTCTGTTCACTGCTAACAAAGGAGATAATTATGTCATGTCAACATTTCGAAGGCTGGAGGTAGGTGCTGCAGTCTGTTTTTCTCTTCTGCTTAAAAAGACTAACAGCTTTCTTTAAATAAACGTGACTGTTCGTTAGCCAATAAAGTGGTATAAAGCCAATCTGTATTCTTTCCAGGTAAATGGTATTCCTGAGGAGAGAAAGGTGGCCGAAGCACTGAATTTGTGACCAGAGACAACAGTGTTTGATTTCATATACATATATATCTTTGTTTTTTCTAACATTTGTGCCAATCTGCATGCCCCAGAAGTGTCTTTATTGTCCAAATGCACTTACACTTTGAGGAGTGGGTGTGACAGATCAAAATAGCGTAGCGATTTCTAAAGTACATTTTAATATTTTTGAAATAATGTATTTGTAAATGTTAAGACTATGTTTAATTAGAACTTGCTTTGCACAATGGACCTCTCAAAGGAAAAGGGAGTTTTACATAGAAATGCTTTAGTTGTCATGTGTTATAAATATGTATCATGTGTCACATGATAACAATAAATCCTTTGAAATCATTTGTCTTTACTGGTTTCATCTGTTGTCCCAATAATAAACAAGACACTAGTAAGGAGGACTTACACAAACGGTATATTTTGTCGAAAAACACATTTTATGAAGGTATTTTTAACAATGTACAACAGAATAAAGGCATTTATAAATAATATGGATACGTTTCACCTTTTGAAGACATCACAAAATGTTTAACATGTAACATATCTCAAGAGGCCCTGCTGCACATGGGTATAAATAGTTGTTGCTTTTACTCGACAGAAAGATCTGTTAAGGCCTGAAACAATTACCAAATGGATAGCTGTTGATCAGTAATAGACGAGGAAACATCAGTGAACTTCGCGCCATAACCGAAATTGCAACATGGAAATGCCATTCCCTTTGAACTGTGAGGTGATGACTGGTTATAGAAACTACAAATTTACTTCAATCTTATTCCGTTTAAGAACACAACGGAACCTGCACATTGTTAGATAAACAACCAGAAGCCCCAAAAATCAAGAAATTGCTCCATTTTAAAGAAGAAATGAATTCTATGTGGACCCATATTTATCCTTTAAAAAGGTATCTATATAAATGTGTAGAAAGCAATTAACTAAGCAACCCTTTACGACCTCATGGTAGACGAAACGTGAAACTCAAAATTCATAAGCAACACAGCTTGGATTGTACAACACTACTTTTTTTTTTTTTTTTTAAACCTATCATTTACCCAATAAAAAATGTGCTCAAGTACATAACATTTCTGCACATATTACCTTGTTAAACTCTCATTATGCTTTGGAGTTCACTGCTAAGCTGAAAAGAAAATGCAGGTCTTCAAATAAAAGTGACCATCTCTTTGAGTAAATGTCTGTGAGGAGATATAGGCAAAGCTACATAACCCATTTGTCAAAATATACAATATTTGTTTGTAATATGCCTTCTAAGCTCAGTCAAAGGAGTTGGTTTTTTAGATGTTGGCATTGTGGCAGTGATGCAGAGTTGAACAGACGGCTAGATGTACTCTTGTTAAAGCCACTGAGAGGCTCTGTTTGGATGCATGAGTCTAAGAAAATCACTTTTTCACTCACTGATTAAAAGAATTCACCGGCTGTGCCCGCACATGGAGGATTTATACTTCGATTTCCTATTGTACAGTAATATGTGCAAGGCGGTACATTTTCCACCAGAGCTAAGAGGCATGTTTTTAACGGCAATCAAAGGAAATCAAACTAAAAACACTGCTAAAGCATTGCTGTATAAAATAAAGTCTTTCACTCTATCATACAAATATACACAGACTAATAGCTGATAGGACAGACGGGTATTAGACTGTAAAGGCTCGACCTCCGCAATGCGTCTCTGAGGCAAGTGATCATCTACGAGATGCTGGGATGGGTACAAAAGTTATTCGTGTAATACTTCCTTCACAAACAGCAGTCATGAGCGAAACATAAAACAAAGCCCAAAAGAAAGAAAAAAACATTTATAAAATATACGCTTAATTTAAAATCATTAAATACTGTACATATATCACATAGAATTTCAGAGACACAGCAGGTGACCAGTGACACAGTGCCTTTCATCACAAGGCGAACATTTCAAAAATCACAAAGACATTAGCAAAAATATGTCGAGGGATTATTCAACATTTTAACAATTGCACTCCAAAGTTCGACTGTTTTTTGATCAAACAAGTGAGCTGTTGGTCCATAGCTTGCATATTCAGATATCTAACACTGTTTTAAAGTAAACAGAACTACTGTACAAAGTTGATCATGGAAATCAGCACGTTGTAACAATTTTATATTTAGATATCTGAATAAGTAGATTATGGATCCTCCTGAGTGAAAACACCTTCAACTGCTATGGCCAAATGGACGGAGTGTGTGGCTAGTGATCGCTTCCAGAGTGGAGTAATAATAGGAAGTATTGTAAGTGACAAATTTAAACTTTAAACTTGGGTTTGGCTAAATAGGAGCAACGCTGCAAAAGATTCACACGGCAAGCACGAGGTCTTTAATGAGAAGACCTCTTTTTGTTTCACATAAAATCTCACATCAATTTCCTCCGCTGTTCTTCTCATAAATCCAAATAATGTAAACGTTGTGTATTTTTTTTTCTTTGTTATGTTTGTTTTTTTCCGCATTTTTTTTTTTTCAGTGTGCGACTTTCACAGCAGTCATAAAGTTCTCTGCTCAGACACGGCCAGCAGAGAGACCCCGTCCTCCCACGGGCCCCTGTGTTGTCATTTAATACAACTGAGGTCCCTTCCTGTGGCCCTCGGTACGCTATAACACCGGGCCTGCTACTGTTTAGCGACTGGACCTCCCTTCAACCTCAAAAAGGGGCTTGGCGAGTCTTCCCTTGCCCCTCACCATCAAGGCATGTTACCATCAGGCGCCGTGTGTTTTGTGGCTGCCCCGGGACAGCAGCAAGACTCCCAGAGTGAAGACCCCCACGGCCCCCAGCCGCTTCAGGAGGGCCACGTTGTCTTTGGGGATGATCACCTGGGCCAGGTCGTTGGTGATGAGGGAAATCTCATGAGCCACGCAAACAAAGATGAAGGTGCTGACCAGGATGTTCAGCGAAGGGTTTCCAGGGATCAGGACCAGAATGCCCTTGGTGTCGGCGGCCAGCCAGATGTGGTACTGGCATATGAACAGCTGGGGGAGACAAACAGAATGAAAAGTGAGGAATATAAATGTGTAGTTTCACTTGGCGGCCTCCAGGGAGCTACAGAGCATCACACATAAGAGCTTGTAAGAAATAAAGTCCAGTGTTTTATTGGTTCTGCTTCCACATTTGATCACTGGCAGCTTATTTTAGCAGAATTACAGATTGCTCATTTCTTTTATTGCTTTACCGTACCCTTGTGTAATAGCAGATTTGCTATGTAGCACTATATAAAGCACATTTTATTATGTTGTAATACCATGTTATCACCTTGTTGTGTGCAAAGGCCTCTGGCATTGGACCACATTGATTATTAAACTCTTATTTAACCTTTTCTTTATAGAGTGCCACAGTGACGCGTCCTAAAACCCGGAAGTAAAATCCTTCCGGTTCCTTCGACAAAAACCAATACAATGTCTCCATAGGATTTTGAAAAAATAGCTCGAACTACTTTTATAATTTTCTAATCATAAATCTATCGTTCATAAATCTATCAATTCGATTTATGATTAGAAAATTATAAAAGTTGGGTAGACATGTGGATATTATCCAGCTGAACAAAACGTGATCTGTCTCTTCAATGTGTCTCTACCACAGACCTTATTTCGAGCTATTTTCTAAAATCCTATGGAGAAATTGCATTGGTTTTTGTCGAAGGAACAGGAAGTGGTAAAATGCTAACTTACTTCCGGGTTTTAGGACGCGTCACTGTGGCACTCAAGGTTGTATCTGTTAAGACTGTTTTATCATTGCTTGTCTACCCATTTTAATTTGTCTGGTGATGGTGATATATATATATATATATATATATGGTTTATCAATATATTTATTCCTAGGTCTGGTAGCTTAGTCGCAGTAATATATGACTTACTTCTAAGGAGATCTTGCCAAACCACGCAAAGAAAGAGCTATATACAGAGCGGGCGTAGCCAGGAATGTTCCTGATGAGAATGAAGGCCAAAATCTGTGAGAAGAGAAAGGACACATTTTGTATGAAATTCTTATCCTTTAAAGTAGCAGGATACTGTAAGGCAAGGCACGTTTATTTATATAGCACTTTTAAGCAAGCGATAATTCCAAGTGCTTTACAAAACAAATTAAAATACTTTTTAGGAATAAATACAGTAAAAAAAGAGTAGGGACCCTCCAAGGGGTCACACATTTAATTTAGCAGGAGACACAAATCTATTAATATGAAAAAACACGGAATTGTCCGGCGAAATTATTTACTTTCTGGTAACCTCTTTTTGGTAGTTTGATGAGAGTGTGAGCGAGTGCAAATCAAGCAGATCT